TGTTCTCTGAGGCTAGTGTTTACAAATTTCCATCCCAGAGGAATTAATGGCCATGCCCATGTGTCCTGCCAGTTCGGATAAATTTGTTGTAAGAACAACAAAGTGGCAAAAAGCACTTAGGATCTTTAAATTTTGAGTGATGGCATTAAAGAGGACCAGTCACCAATCAGTAGTTGCGCTCCTAAATGTTTCTAATGATGCAACCTTACCACTCAGGGATTACCTGTTTTTATTGTTTACATGCATTCTCCCTTTCAGAGCACAAGAGGCTGGCTGTAAGGCCATAAACATCTTGCCTGAGTTCAGTGCTGATAATAGACACTCAAAAACTGTCATATAAGAAATGTATTAATATAATTGTATGAAAGGAAACCGATGGCTGTTTATTGACTGCTTTACCCCTCTCTAATAGCCTGTACAGAAGGTCAGTTGTTAGCACTGAGCTAGGGCAAGATATAGGTGATCTTCCATACAAGTCTTATAAACTGATACTAGGCGAGGATTCTGTTCTGATAGGTAGATAATACAACTATATAGCAGCACACAGCTCCCTGAGAGGTAAGACTGCATTATGCCAACAACTTAAAAGTGATTTAAATTTCCACTTCTGACTGGATGCCTTTAAGGAGTAAGTGCACTTTAGTCACTGGGATGAAATGCCAGCTTAAGCTATTGTGGTCTGTAATAAACAGGCTTTTTTTTTTTCTAAATAGCTGTAAGTAGGTAATGGGAATCATGAAAAGTAACTGAAAACTCTGCCTGCTCTAAGAAGAAAAAAGACCAAATATTAATATACAAAAGGATAAATTCACAAATCTTTACCATAATGAGTCGGATGTTTTTTAGTTAGATTTTTATTTATATTTAAGTATCATTATATTAGTGTGTTAGCTTGAATTAAGCCTAATATTTCAGGCCTACCTCATTATATTTTGCAGTCTTGGATATAATAAATAAAGAAAATATGGATAGAACCATTTAGATTATTTTTAATGTATTAAATATTATTTATGTAGTGATACTGCAAAATCTCAAGTAAATTAATTTTATTTTACCACAACTAATGGCTCACTGAGTTCACCCAAGCTCACATATTCTCACAAACAGATACATCAGCCCTGATTGCAGATTCATAATTTTCAGCTGTAAGTCTCGGCCTAAGTCTAGGCTTTCTGTAAGGTAAGCACGTATGTATTCTATCACATCACTTCATGACTTGATCCTATCGGTCTTGCCACACCACTCTAACACTGTATATTTGCTTCTTGAGATATTCAGATTAATTAAAGAAATATGTGCTGAAAGAAATATTGGTCTTGATGCTGCTGAAGTCCTGCTAAGAATACTAGTCACCTGGTTATCTGTGGCTTCAGTACGTTCTCAGTCACTGACCAGGAACAGGAAGACAGATTAGAAAGTCAGACAGAACTCCTGTTCTGCATTTGTGTTCAAGATGAGAACATTGGAAAGTATTAAAGCCTTTGGATTAGCATTACTAGTATTTTCGGAAGGAGAGGCAAGCAATAGAAGACTAAAACATCCTTTCAGTGGATATTTCCTGTAAGGTGACCCTGGCGACGTACTTCAGTTTGGCAGGCAAGCTAAGAGAATATGTACTTTGGGCCGATCACTGGTTATTTTGTTGACCTGTATATCACTACAGGAGACTTGAAAATGTTGTGTTGAACCTACCCTTTCTAATCAGCCGGCTGGGGATCCAGGACCAAGATGTGCTACTGCTGCACTAAAGGTTCAAAATCAGCTATGCAGTCTGGTAGTGGTGCCTGGATCACTGGACTAGCAGGACAGCATTTTTTTAATCCTTTGGCAGGTAGAAGAGTTCCCCATATATACATATACAACACTGCTTGTCTAAAGATTTAATGTTCTCATTTCTGGCTATGTAAAGTTTGACTGTCAATGCAATGTGCAGGCACATGGCAGCTGTGGTTTATCATCTATTTACACTTAAGGGACCAAGTAAACAGATATATTATTCATGAATGATTTGTATTTGGAAAAGTGGGTTGCAGGGAAGGAAAGAAGCATTGAGCTTTCATGTTTTTTTCTCCAACATCAGAGAGCACATCATTGCAGGCAGTATATAATGATGTCATCAGCTTGCCACAAAGCTGTCACTGGCTACGCTCAACACATGCAGCTATCTGAGCCCTATATGGAACCAAGTCAGTCATTGCAATCTTCACATGCACTGCAAAAATGAACAAAGGCTTCTGGTCATTACATAGTTACATAGTCCACCGCCCTGGAAGTTACAACTGGCCTGGGTAAACTTCAATTTTTTAACGCCACTTAGCTTCTTAAAGTGACACTAAACTTAGGTGTTAAATCTTACAAAAAATACATTCAAGTACTTTAACTATTAACAGAAATGTATCTTATTTGTGTATCACTCGGCCGTAGATCCTCATATCATCTATGAATTGGTGCTGACACTGTCCTTCCTTCTGGAGGGTGGCTACTTTTGTTCCCCATGGTCTCTGTGTGTGTTATAAAGTAGCCATGCTGCAAGCTCACTCTTGTGATGGACTACAATCTCAATACAAATTAGTAAACTAAACGTGAGATTGTAGTGCATCACGGGAGTGAGCTTGGAGTGGTGGCTACTTTACAACACACACACGGACCATGGGAAACAAAAGTAGCCACCCTCCAGAAGGAAGCACAGTGTCAGCACCAATTCAGAGATGATTTGAGGATCTATAGCCAAGTGACACACAAATAGTAGTAAGCACCTGATAGAAATTCTAGCTGTTCGGCCAAGCTGGCTCAGAGGATCAGATGAGAATATATTTTTTATTTTGCTCCCTAGACCAAAACGAGCTGCGCTGCAAGGGTTAATATTACTTTTCCCCAGAATTCTCCTTTAAGGACCTTTTGTTCAGTTTCTGAGCCAGGCGACAACTCATAGAACTGACCTAAAGAACCTATAGTAAGTAATGTTCAAAACAACGTGTAGCAGCCTACAGCAACAAACCCTCATCATTCTTACTGCTCTAAACAGATAGAAGAGAAAATCTGATTTTTGCATTCTTAGAGCTAACTGAGTAGTGAAGTGGTTAACCATGAGGGAGTGCTATTCAAAATCTTCCATGATTAAACTTAAGTGCAACTTATTTTACATAATATAATTATATTACAACATTTCCTGTGTGTTTTCCTTCCTCTCAGTTAATAGCTAATACACTTCCTCAACCTATTATCATGATTCTTCATTTTCATGTTTTCTAGCTCCATGCACTCTTTGAATTGTTTCCGTACATGAACTGTACAAATGCACACAGTCACTAACAGCCTTGTTTAG